ATTAGCGCATATTATAAGCTATTTTAGAAGTTAGGAGCAAAATAAATCTTCAATGTAAAAATTTACATGGCATTCGACGTGTTAATGAATCATCCTGTGCAAATAAGTGCGGTGTAAATTCTGCGGACAACGACTAGTGTATTGACTTTATGCTAATTATCCAATCCAAAAAAATAAATAAATGCTTATTTCGAATCCACAGTTATATTGTTTACATGCCTATACATGGTCTAGAAACCTCGAGTTGTGTGAATATTTCCACAATGAAATCATAAAAAATATAAATAACACAGTTATTTATTACACCTATTAATTTAATGGGGATAAGCGAAAATTTAAAGCATTCCTTTATGAAAAAAATTTACTTATTTTTGCCTAACACTCTCCAAGTATACATATTGTAACATTTCATTATCTGCTTATATGTTAAACAATATTCATTATAAACTTATTTCGATTAATTTATCCTGTTTGAAAATTCAATTGCTCGTCTAATGGTTTAATTCCCATGATCTCCGCAGCATTCCTGAACGCGAATTTCGCATTTTGTAATTACTAATGTTGGTCATTTTCATCGCATTTCTCCAGTTTCTTGTAAGCTGAAATTATTTCTCGAAACTAGGAAACGCACGTAGCATTACAGGAGCTTCAATTACATTCGTTTCGTTTTCGAATTGCGATTTGCTGCGCCGCATTTATTCCGTAATCGTCAGTAATTTAAAAAACGAAAGCGATTTCGATTTCAGCGTTGCATTCTGATTGATAATTATTAAACTAATTGGCTAGATATATATCCATCAAGCTCAATCGCGCTTTTATGACTGAAATTTCAACTCGTTAACATGTAAAAATGTCAATAGGCGCAAATGTAAATATGTTTTTCTTAATAGATGTTGTTTTATATAATATCTCCCGAAAAATTAACGCACGTCTAACAAATATTTCGGCGCCTCGTATACTCAAAATATAAATAGAAGGCGTTCTACTAGCATGCGACTAGGAATAATTATACTTGAAAGTGTTGTGCATTCGTTCATAAGGTCGTTTTAAAATTCGCTATTAAATTAATTGGCTTGGCAAGGCGTCGTTATCTAATTGAATAATTTAGGCGTGAAATTTTCTTTCGCTCAAATTTTATATTTACTCGTAAAGTTGTATTGCATCCACTTCGAATTCCGAAAATAAAAGTCGTCATTTATTGACTGATAAAAATTCTGTAAGTTAAGTTCCAAACAATTTTAATATTACAGGTTTTGTATGATTGTAGTTACAAGTATAAGTACAATGATCTTTCTGGTAAAATCAGAAATTATATTTGGGATTTCAATAGAGAATATTATGTATTATCTTACTCTCAATGTGTACAATAAAATAAGGAATAATTCGCATTTCAAGCTAGAGATTACATTATAATCTTTGCTTTTAATTGTAGAGTTTAAAAACACTTATTGAAAGAAAACTTGACCTGATATACTAAAATCTTCTGAATTGTTAAATGGAGCATTTCAGATATATTTGTTATGCTACAATCTATTTTTGATCTTGACCGCATTTCTTTCCAAAGGGATTACGAAATTTTCAACGTAGGGAAAAAAGCTAAAATCATATTTGAAAATTTAACGATTTTATTCGAAATACGTCTAGCATGATTTCTTTGATCTAATATATGGATAATTTGTGTGCAAATTTTGTATTTGAGTGCTTTTTTTAGTTTATGTTGCATAAAATTACTCCATTGTTAGACAAAAATAATACACTTGGCAACGTTCATATTTTTACGTCGTCAAACTGTGAGCGATTGCTGACATAAAAAATTACATTCTCTACTATACGTACTTGTCATTCATTCAAATTTTCGAAATGTCTCAAAATCATCAGGATTATTATTCAGACTAATTGGATCAAACTTTTTTATCATTGCAATAATAAAAGACACTTGAGCACAAGAAATCGTGCATGGAAATATCTCTTCAAGTATGAAAAACAATCGGCCCAATTTCAACTTCCCTTGTTTTACATCATAGAAACGCCCTGTACAATTTTATTTAACAATCTCTTTTACATAACGCAAAGCAACGAGCTTCTCAGCGATCTTTCGATCCTCATTCCTCTTAAGGAAGTATGTTAATTAATATTAATTGGTATAGCCGACTAGCGAACGCATCCATCATGTTATTCATTACTAGAAATTACACGCCCCTCCGTGAAACAATACTCGACTGCTATAATTGGAACACCTCGAATGAGATAAAACGAAAGAAAAACAGAATGCAATTCGATAAAAAAAATTGTATTAACCGTGTGAGAACGCCGTACAAATTACTAACAATTCAGACCTTTGTTTAAGCAACCTTGAAATTATATAGTCTAAGCTCCGAGCATTCCGTAATGGAAATAAAATATGGAGAAATTGAATATATTGCGTTAATTTTCGTAATGGATCTCTTGTTACCGATATCTCGGCTTTCCTACACATTTTGCATGTGACAATTCTTGTATATCCAATCTCCTAGAACGAATTAACTGGTGAATTAGAACATTAAAATAGAATAAATATGCTTCCTCTTCCGTAACATTCCACCTACACGATGTATAATTTAAATGCGAGCTTCAAATTCATCAGGATTTTTTAGTTCATATTCTGATTAATGAAACGTCCTGCATTTATTCTAATTAAATTCGTACAGTTTATCTTTGTTTTGTCTTGAATGTATTTACAAGATCTTCAACAGCGATAGGAAAGTAAAGCGTTTGGTGCGATTTTCGAATTTACTGCACTCAGACACGGATCGTCCTTGAAAACGCCACTCGAAAGTTTAGCGTTTGTAAAACTGCTAAGGACAGTTTGCAGCCAAATGGCCCGTAAACACAAAGTTACAGAATTAGAACAAAACATGTGATTGTTTGTACCGAAACCAATGTCAGAACAGCAATTTATATTTTTCTCTATGTAGATATCTCTAGAGAGGATCTCGTATGTTTAGTACAAGTAAATGCCCTCGGTATAAATGCGCTTTAATTAGAGCCAACCCCAACAGTATGTCTGGCGAGCACCCTCTCTGCACGGTGCGAATTTACCCTATTTCGCGTATACTTTTCAACATCCGCCGCGAAATCGATCGATGTCGCTTGAAAATCATCCCCACATCCTTCCGCGATTGTCAACAAACATCCATTCACGCGCGATATTCAATTTACCGCAATCTTAATGCCTGTAATCTTCTGTACAAATTACCGAGTAGATAAGTGTATGGAATTAACTATTTTTCCATGCCGTCGACATGTTTACACTCCAACATACAATCCTCTAGTGAAGCCATTTTTGGGCACGACGCACCGAAATTCGACGCCTCGAATGCGTCGTTTCACTGTTAAGACGACGCTTCTCGCGCAGCTGCCGCTCATATCAAAATATCACCGCGGCTTGCCGGACCGCCACCGCGTTGTCAGATCGATGATAATTTCAGTAAAATAAATAGTACACAAATAGGCCTCTATTCCATGAAAAATAATTTGTCACAATCATATACAGCTGTAAGATACTTGGAGCTTTTCGCTTAGATGAATGTTTAAGATAAATTCCCACAAAAATATTTTTTTGAATCGATTTGTAATCAATTTGTACTAAGTTTTACCTAGTAATTTACTATATTAAAAACTGAAGTACCGATGAATCAATAATATTGCTTAATAATTGATGTTAATCTATCATAATGTTGTAGTTTAATTCAATAAAATCACCTACAATATTTATTTATAAATTATTCAAAATATTCAGTAAAGTAGTATTAAAAATGCGATTTATAAACTAAAGAAAACAATCGATTAACCAGCATTGACCTGATATAAACTCGATAAAAACCATAACAAAAAAAAAGAAAGATACCAATTAAGAAACGTTAACAGTAATTTAATAGTTTAAAAATCGAATGCGATAAGCGGGTCAACGAACATTTCGAAAACGCTATTTACTTGTATCACACATTACAGTATTCCATTTTTTTCGGGTTTTTTGGAATTCCGCGGTTTTGTCAGGGAACTCATCGTAAATTTCTCGGTTATCAATCAGCAGGCAACAATTAATTTACTTATTAATCTCTAATTCCACAACACCAATTCATATCCTCATCGGCGATTGTCGCAAAATTAAGATAACGAACTGCGAAATCATGCGTAAAATATTCTCGAGATTATTTCATATTAATCATCGAATTATCAGAATTTTTTTTGCATTTGGGCTAATTTAATATTTTCAAATTTACAATACAGCAGACGTACGAGCTCGTGCGAAAAGTAGGTTTTTCTGGAACGTTGACAAGATTAAAAATATTTCCAACGTTTATTAACCAGCCAAGGTCGATGAAATTTCGAAGCTTATTTTGATTTTTATCGATTACCGATAAAAAGACAATACAGGACTTGTTGGACTGTTTTTTTTTGCGAGTAAAAGTACGTTAAAAGGAAAACGTGGCAACGTTGACAATTATTTATGAAATTTTATGCTAATATCGTTATAAATTAATTACTTATGTACATTCAATTGTGGAGTAAAAATCGATGTAATTTATAACAATTAAAAAAGGAAAAATAACTTTAATTTGTTTATAAGAAATATGGTAATATTTGTTGATAACACGAGCTTTTTTACGTCGAACATTATCATTAGGTTGGCGTTTGTTAGTGTAATTAAAAGTTTTATTAAAAAAAATTCGGGTATTTATTATGAAACAGTTAAGATATTCTTGCCAAGCTGTGCCAAAAATAGTTTCACGATATAATGTTACACTCAAGGTTTTTAGTAAAATCTTTAATGAAAATGTGCAAACCAGAATATAATTAGATCGAATTCCGCCGATCGCCCGTTAGATTAATTCAACCTGAAACCTAACGGGGTAGACCGCACCAGAAGGATATATTAGGTTATGTAGCAGGTTTTTTTTTGTTTACATACGTAACAATGGCTGCAAGTTACAACAGTCGAAGAAGAAAAAAGCTCCTACCTTTTTCTGTTGCTTCTCCCAGGCCGGATCGAGGAGTCCTTCCCGTTCCCATTCTTCTTCTTGTTCCATGTAGCCTTGGTCGTAGCCTTGGTCGACGTTGTTGTAACCGTCGGTGATCATGTTCGACAATTAATAATTATAATCACGAAATGCTTGCTTATGCTAAGATGGTTCGTTTTATTCAAAAATTCGTTCGACAGATGTACAAAAAAAACGGTCGTGCCTAAGCACAAGCACACGGGCGATCTTACGCGCACTCTACCCCACTTGGCCCGAGCCCGACTGTACTAAAACCAACACTCGCGGACGGCGATTCGAGTGGAGTTGTTGTCGTGGGACCGCGGGCCCGTCCGTCGCACGGCCGCGTTGCCGAACCTTCCGTTCGAAACTTCCTCGATTCGTCGCCCTACGAACGATTCTTATCCGCGGCAAGCGGCCACCGGGTCGCCCCGATCTTACACCTATTGATTACAATTCCTCTATCTGAGATTCCTCCTCTTGAGACTTCTTCTTTGGTCTTCCTTGATTTATCAGTGTTCCGTAGAAGACGCTAAGATAATAAAAAGTCTACCTTGATGAGAAGTCATCGAGTCACCTATTTCTATACTCTGCATTGCGACTCTATTCAACTCTACGCTATTCTTCCCTACGTCTCTGACTGTTCTAATCTGAATCTACTATAATCTACTCAACTCTACGCGACTACTACTCTACTGTGAATATACGCTATACCCTACATTATTTTACTCTACTCTGCTCTACTCTGAATTAATCAACTCTAATCTGCTCTGAAACTATTCTAATCCACTCTACTTTATTTACTCTACTCTGCTACTTTACGGTACTCCCGAAATCTATTCTTATTTGCTCTGCAATATTCTGAATTAATCTACTCTACGTTATTTTAATCTACTCCCTTACTCTACTCTACGGTACTCTGAAATCTATTATAATTTCATGAATTAATCTATTCTACGTACTCTAATCTGAACTTATACTCTACTCTAAATGTACTCTACACTGAATCTACTGTACTCTACCTATGGGTTCCTAATTGTCTATAGGGTAAGAATAATTCTATCTCTTCTCATAAAAAATAATAGCTATTTATGCACGACAGAATTCTGCTCCATCTATTACTCATAATTTATCGAGTCTTTAGGAGTCTTCAGATCTGATGGAAATCTTGTATAAACTGGTAGATGTGGCAACGTGCAGCCGACTTGACCCCCGGTAAGCCTAGTAACGGCCGATAGGATGGGTTTGTGGGTTTTAATGGGTAGCAGGGAATCTATTTCGAGTTGCGGTAGTAATCGGCGTATACGGGGATCAGTCGAGTGGTAAGGAAACTCGGGCGAATGGCGAAAGAAATATTCTTTATAGAAAAATAGTGTATTCTGCTTTAGCTGTAATCACATTAATATTTTTTTCTTTAAAGGTTTTAATATACCTAAAGACCATTTGCTTTGCACGGGACATCTCTAATCCCTATAAGGTATTTGCTATAGTTTAGTAAAACATCTTTTGAGGCAACTGCTATATCAAATAGAAAACCAAGATGTGCTAATGTAAGAAACTGCGTTGTCTTTTAAAGATGCCCATACGCTCTTCTTCTTCACAGAAGAACCGAGTCTTCCGAAGCTGATCAAGTCCAGAGGGTAAATCGGTTGGGTATGATCGGTGCATCTGACTATAAACAAAGCGTGATGGCAAATGGGATCTCCTGCGTAAGCTAGGAAATGACCGCCGAATTTATGGCCCTGGGTGATATAATACCCTTTGTGCCATAAATCTGAGTATACGGCAGCTTTAAGATTACTGGTGAGGTTTATAACATCATCACGACTGCAGGTTTTTAAATCATCGTAAGTGTTCGAAGATGCTGGTAACGTTACAGGCCATATCAAATTATCTTTGGTAACGGGAGCGAGTTTTTTCAGTTCGTCGTTGATGAATTCTTCTTTGGATTTTTCGTTGTTTCTTTTAACTATCAGTTCATCGGCTAGGACCTCTAATTGTTCAGTTCGCATTCGCTTGTATTCAACAGTTTCGGCACTTATTAAACCATCTTCGTACTCTTCCAAGGCTCTTTTGTCACGAGCAGTTTTGGTAATAATTTTAGGGGACTCTAAAATTGTTACGATTTTCTTGTCTAACAGTAAACAAGCCTCTTCGGGTAATATTTTTATTGGTAGAGATGGCACGTGTAAAGAATTACCAACAATTTCGCCAATTATCCGATGTTCCTCGCGGAGTTTAATCCAGTCGGTGGCATCATATAGAAGAATTTCGCCGTTGGTTAAATATAATTTTATCATTTTGTTGTTTTGTTACTTTTAGAAGGCTAGAAGGCTATGTTTCAATTTAAGTTAGGTTAAATATGTCATTTTTTTTAGAAGTGGACTTTTACGTGCAATGACAACATTACCAAATCGTAAATGAAGCAAATAAAAATGTATATTTATTTTTATACTTTTGTGATAAATATTAGTTATTAGTATTTAATTGAATTGGGTATATGAATACTGTAGTAAATTATCAAAAAGAATGTTTTCAAAAAATACCCCTGCAGATAGGCAACCTATCCCACATACCAAATTTGACATGTTCGTCCATTCGGTACAAAACGGAAAATCTGTGGATTAAAAAACCGATTATAAATACCCTTTAATAAAATTTATTTTTCAATAATGAAACAATTATTTTTTGTCTACAAAAATTTACGATTAGATTAAATTTTCTTCCCAAACATACATACGTAAGTTCGGTTAGAACATTGGAATTTTGTAATTTTATCGAAAGAAAAATCTATTGCATATTTTATTTAGGCTTACAAATTTGAAACGTGTCGAATATTTGGCGAGAAAATTTTTCAAATAATTTCTCAACAAACGTACATTTTTCGAAATTATTATTTATTGATTTTTTACATCAACGTTGTAAATGGTAACATATCGATTGCGTGTAAACGAAAATATATTTACATGTATTATTTATTTTTTAATTTTCTAGTAAAATATTGTTTTCTTTCGTACAGTGATTGTTGACGCTCAGCATCACTCAAAAGTAAAGCCGCTCTTTTAAAGAAAATTAAAAACAATATTCACAAACTTGTACAAGTTCCTCTTACCAGTGCTTTTAAAAAAATACAACTTAAATGTTAAACGATTTCAATTAAATTAACGATAATTTTCTATTCTTCGGGCGTATTTTCTCTCGTTTTCCGGTCGAGCCCTCGATTTTTTCGATTTTTTTGAAATTAACGCACAATTTCACACTGGTTCAGGGCAACCATAAAATGAGATTATAAAAACTACGAGTATCATGCTTGATCTCCGATTTCCAGCTTTTGGACCACACTCTCCACTTCTGAAATATATTTTCATATACACTTTAATAAAAAAAAAATATAACTGAACGTAAATCTGCCACTAAATTATGATAAATAAATAAATAAACAAATTTCTTCCTTAGTAAAATTGAATAAGCTTACATCTAATAAACGAATACTACGGTGAAAAATATTGTTCAAATTTTGGAGTTTATCCATTCAAGATCGTCTCAATCACAGTTAGAAAAAATACGAGCGAAAATATTGAACGACTGGCGTTTGTTGAAAGAGGGTTAACGTATTTATATGGCAGTATGTTGATGAAGAAACTTCATTCAAATGTGAAAATACTTTTTAAACATACGCCACAAATTTTCTATTTTAATTTGAAATTTACATTTGCGCAGCTTTTTTAATAAATTTGATAAACACACCAATATCTATCCTGAAAATGTTGAAAACCATTATCACAATCCTCTCGACTTTTATTGCTTTGTTGAGCACAATCGTATACAATAAATTAAGATTTATTAAAAATATATGAATCAAATAAATAATTGAGCATAATTCTGTGGACTACATACATAGATGCTAATTCGAGTACATTTACGCAATAAAACTACAAAAATAGATCCAGTTTTCCAAAAAAAAAAAATACCTACAAGTGATAGAAAGCAAACCTACTCTACCTAAATATTATCCGCACTACACAAAATAAATTAACTGTGTAAATGTAAATTAACTTATGCAAACAACACATTTTTGCCATTTGCTCATAACAATTTCAACAGTTTATTATTATATTATCCAAACAAAAAATAGCCCAAGAAAACCCAAAAAAACGCATGAAACATAAACGAGCAAAGTTACAAATTCTTATTGTTACCTTGATTTGCAACTTCGCTCTTATCACCAATTTTATTCAGTACATCTTCGAATGCCGACAACGATGTAGTCAGAGATAATTTCAGTCCTTTACTAACGGGCAACAGCGGAAATTCCGGCTTCGACTGCTCGGATTCCTGGCAATAGCCGCGCAATCTCTCGCACAATTTGTGCCCGTTCTCCGCGAAATGCGAGTAAATTTCCTGCTTGAACGTCTCCGGCGGCGAATGCAACATCTCCTTCATCGATTGGATGAGCTTGAGTATCACCAATTCGTTGTACGTCCTCGAATTTTCGTAACCTAACAATTAAAATAACATAAAAATGTCTAATTTTTTTCGTATAATTTACCTTGTTGGGTGTCCGTTTGCTTCTCGTACCCAGCTTCGTTATAATAAGGTTCCGATACCAATATTAATCCTTGTATGGAGACTATCAGTTGCAAAAGTGTACTGTTGGGGCCCCATACTTCCGTGCCTCTACCCATCCAAGTACCCAGCAACGATACGCAAACTTTACCCTCTACGTATAAATTAGGATTCAATCGTTCCGAGCTGTAGCTTATGTAGTGTACTAGAGGCGGAGACCTTAAAGAATACGCATTTTTAATGAACACGTTACATCGATTCGATTTTTATATCCACCTGGGATAATCGTTACTGAGCTGAATGTCGAAGAGAAACAGGCCGTCTTCGTAGGGCGTTTTCGCCGGCCCTTTTATCATAACAGAGAGCAGATCTATTCGATTCCCGTACGATCTGACCCACACGCCCGGCGGTAACGAGTCCTTGAGAAGCTTATATTCCTTCTGAACCGCTTTAGCAAATCTACAAATACACATGAATCTTAGTTTAATCAATCAACATCGATGTAGCAATCACCTTTGCAGATCCGTTGGTTCGAATTTGCTCGAGTAATAATGATGAGTGGCCGGCACGTCGTCGAGCAACACGTACGGCTCGTTCTCCCCCGAACTTTTGCCGATCAACTTCGATTTCAACGGGCTGAGAGACGAAAACGAATCGTCCGGCGTCGTCGGGACGCTCGGCGCCGGCGTCGAACTGCACGGCGTCTGCACGTTCTCCGACGCTTTGGTCAGCACGGTGAACGCCTGACAACCGCCGATGCGACTGATTATCTCCGCGTACGCCAAATCCATGCGAACCTTCAACATCGACAACAGCTCCACGCAAAGATTGTCCGGGCACGGGACATCCGCGCTCTCCGCCGCCGATGGAGTCGTCGGTGCTGCTCGGAAAACAAATATACAGCGTGTTAATAAATTATTTTACTTTACAGCTACTCTACAGCTACTCTGAATTAATCTACCAGACTCGTAATTTCATTTTACTCCACTCTGAATCTAATCAACTTTACTCATCTTAGTCTACCCTACTCTAATCTACTCTACTTTATTTTAGAGTCCTCCTAAGGAAACGTTTTCGATTCATCGCTTCTCTACACTACTCTATGCTACACTACTCTATGCTACACTACTCTATGCTACACTACTCTAGTCTACACTACTCTGAAATTATGCAACTTCTTCGACTTCTGCAACTTCTGCGACTCGACGGACATTACTTAAAACACCCTGTATACGCACTTGTAGAACACTTGGCGCTTTCCTAATTTAGTACGTTTTTAAATGGCTCTAAACTTACCAGTCGGTTCTTTGCTATCTTTCTTCTCGATTTGCGCGTTGATTTTGTTCTCCAATTTGATCATTTTGTTGATGTTCTCTTTTTCGGCGACCTTGATTTTGGATATGGACGGACTGAAATTGTCGCTGGAAAACAGCCTACCTCGCAATTCGACGCCCAGCGACTTGGCCTTTTCCTTCGCTTGCAGCAGCAACACTTGAAAGTGCCTGCTCTTGAGGCTGAAGAACGACGTGCCCAAGAGTTTGTCCAAGTAACTCGAGTTTTCGTAGATCAACAAGAGATCCTTGACAAACTGAAAACGTTACAATGTATATATCGAAATACGTCCGAAACGGTTAATTTTCTTACCACAAATGTTTCCATGATGGTGTTCTGTTTGAAGGCGTCTTTCAGGTATATTATCCTGTTGCGAACGAAATCCAATCGGGCCGCTAAGTTTTGCAAAACGGTCTCGTCGGTTAGATCGCCCGCGTACGATTCGATGCTTTCCGTTTCCCATGACACGCAGGCTCCGTCGTCGTCCGATGACTCGTCATCGGAGAAATCGTAATCCGTCGTTTCGGGTATCAATTCGATGTCCTGCGGCCAACAGTTCTCTTCTGTGCCGTCCAACCATTGGACTTTCACGTAACCCTAAAATCCCACGCAAAAACGTACAACATCGCTCGAGCATTCTTCCACGACTTACTTCTATACAACTATCAATAACTTTTCCCATTTTATCTTCTTGAGCAGGTTTCGACTTAACTATACTACGAGGACGGAACACAAATTTCGAATGTTTCTTCAAATCGTAAACACTCATTTCGTTTATTGCTAATTCTGCCGGTTGTTCCACGTTTTCGAGGTGAGTGAACCATTTGACCTGAAACGAATTGAATAAGAGACGATCTATAATAATCTCAATTTACTTACGCTGGCGGTTCTTTCTAAATAATTGACGCTTTGAACGACACCGTAATTACCGTTGCCTGGATTGTTATCGTTAATAACCCACTCGCCAGGAAAGAACTCGTGATCGTCTAGAGATATTGAATAATACAATTGCGTGGATGGTATATCTTTCTCTTCGGTGCCATCTTGCCATACTACGTTCACTTTTGATTCGACGCAAATTACCTGTAACATTTCAGTTTTATGATAACCACGGCTTATGTAACGAAATTAAATTGTACTACCTCGACGGCTAGCGTATTGCCGGGTACCAAGTCTCTGGGTTTAGGAGGATAATGCCGAATTTTAGTTTTCGTAGAATAACTAATTTGCGATGTGGTACCATCCTCTTCAGATTCATCGGATTCTTCCGTCCACCATTCTTCCTCGTCGGTGTTGACTGTTACTTCCTCGTTGGGCGAGTAGACCAACGAAGATGGCCTAATTTTACTTATTCTAGACCTAATTGCAACAAAAAACCGAGCGTGAGAATGGTATTTTGAACGAATCATATTGGCACTTACATCTTTGTGTTGCAAGTAACAATATGCCTAACTTTTGGTATTTCTGGCCTATACATTAGAGATAATTTTTTGGTCCAATCTTTCTTCTTAAGAAGTACATCGCCCGTAGATAATTTCAATAACCTACGATCTGCCAATTCCAGAAATGTATCGCTCGGGTGTTCTAGAACTTTCAACCTGTAATGGAGATTATAAAAAATGAGAATGCACCCAATTTGGAAAGGATTTTGCATACTTTTTGATGTCGTTTTGGCATATTTCAGACACATGAGAGTATCCTGAAGTGTTGTTGTACCACGCAATTTCTATTAATACATCTTCAACTTCTTGTACGGTGAATCTTTGGCGAGTTTGTATGTTTCTCTTCATCGTTTTTGATTTCTTTACCCAGTGGGGTTGTTCAAAGGTACTTGGAACGCAAATCTACGAAAAGATACAATTTATATTTCTTATTTTGTGGTAAAGATAATATGAAAAACTGGAATTAGAAAGCAGATTATTTGTAAGTAAAAAAACTAGACTCTTTTGTTTAAAATATACGACTTTTGATGAATTTCATTTAGGAAGTAATCGAATGGAATTTTCCTAATTAAACATGTATCAATAGAAAATTAAGCAATTTCGTAAATATTTTGAAATATAGAATTCTAGGAAACGTGAAAATGTTTTTAAAATTACATGATAAAAGGTCATAATCGATAAAGTTATTAAAATACATTCCAATGTACTGACTACAAATGTTTACCACATTTCACTTAAGCTTTAATCACAACGAAATAAATTAGAATATTTCCGAAATCTGTACTTCAAATGATCTATTTATTATGTTAAATCAATACCAGTTCCTGTCCGGGATAGTAAGCATCGAATGAGATTCTGTTCCTCTTCGATAACCAATAATCGTCTAAATCGTGATTAATACTTGTTAAAACATCGACCACAGAACCACATTTTGACTGCATGGTTACCATTTGCTCAACAGTCTAGAAAGTATTTGATAAAATGAAAGGAAAATTAATGAATAAAAGTACCCGATTTACCTCGATTCTTCCGAATTTGCTGCCCAAACAGACGGCATCATCGACATCGAAAGGTCTGACACTGTGCAATCTTTCACTCGAAACATGTTCAATTACAATATCTGTGCCAACAATTTGTACAGTGGCAATTTGCTTGGCTTCTTTACAGTAACCCCTTTGGGTCTCTTTGCCTTTTTCTAATCTTCTAACTATATCACCAGGTATAATGCTCCTATTTATTAATCGAACCTTACTTTGTCTCCAAACCTGTTCCCTAGAATTATTATTCCACAATACTCTAATTTGCCCTTTTTGCAAGGAATGATATTCATCCACGTCTGATGAGGCTTCATAACTATCTACAACAACTCCAAAAATTATTTTCTTGTGCTTATCAAACCTAAAAACTACATCATTGGTATAGAATTCTTTAACTTTTTCAGAATTAGGATTGGACATTGTCTGATGTTAACACCGTTCTCTTGCACGTTTTTCGCTGATTTTCTATTAAACAGAACAAATGAAATTTCAAATTGGCTTTTTATATTTTTTTCTTACATTTCTTTCACTAGCGCATGGCAGACAAGACAACTGACATTTTGTAAACAAAAAAAAATCTAAAAAATCAGCAATGTCTTGGATGTGATTAACGTCCCGATGCAGAAATGCTAGCTATTTTAGTTATTAAAAATTTGAAGATAACAACGAATCGTAATAAATTTTCATATAAATATTAAGTCGTAGTTTATTATCTTGTCTTATTGAATACGTACTATTCAGTTACGTAATTTATATTTTGTTTTATTTTTAGATCTAAAATTACGGTAACGATGTTTTAGCCACAATCTACCTGAATAATTTTGTTGATGTTAAATGAGTTGCCTATACCTATATTGTATAATATCTGAATATCATTCATTGGTTAATTTATTTCATTTTGAGCATACGGATTTTGAATTAATGCACATTTAGCGATTGTTTATTACATATGTATGCACATATGCATATGTATGTATGTATGCATATGTATGTACATATTATTGAGAACGTATTTTGAGAAATGCGAAATAGATATCGCTTGTTTTTCATCATAAATTAAACCTTTCAGACTCCGTAGATTTTATCTGCAAAATTATATTTATAAACAGGAGGCCAAATGTCCTTAAACTTTGTATTATATTGTTTATATCGGTAACCGGGAGATCAATTATAATTTATAGATATGTATGTATACATCCTATAATCATCATCGTCAATCATCTTTTTTAATTAATTTAGCAAGATTAGCATTATGAAAGAATTGTTATTAGGATTTTATAGATTTTCATTTTCTGATAACATTGCTTTTATACGTTTGATGTAAAATAACCGTTTGTTAATAAATTTTAATAATTCAATAAAGAAAATATTATTGACCTATAGTATCGTGACCTAAGTGACCACAACAGTTTAAAATTGTTGATGTTATACATATGTTATCTCGCTCTTTCCAGGATTGGCATTGCTTATTTAATTAACGAATTATATCACAAAGATTAATAAAATCAGTTAATTGCACCAATTTTGCCATTAACACATGATCTTCACCCATAAATGAGAAAGGGAACTCAAATCAGCGAATAATTGTAATAATCTTTGAAATTAAATGTCGCTGTAAAATTTTTAAGTCATGAAAACAAAATATTAAAATCCATAACTTGGGCAATAAATAAATTGATAAAGTTGTGACAATTCTGACGATTTCTGGAAAATTTCGGAAATACCGAGGATTTAATAAAAAATAAACCGGTTCTGTTTAAAAATATCCTAACTTAGGAGATCCTCGATATATACCAGTTGGTCGTTTATTGATATCCATTTAAGCGCAGTAAGCTGCGATTCAAGCAGTGAAAGAAAACATAATAATTTAGAAAAATCGAACAATGAAGTGTTACAGTTCGCTGTTCATATTATTTTATTTAATCAGTATTATTGCAGCAAGACCTACAAATGACGCTGAAGGTAGCATAATAGTTGTGCCGCCCAATACGACGAAGTGCCCGGCTCATTACCACTACCTACATCGAAAATGCAGACTAATTCATTAAAATGGCCATTAGGTGAGTTTATACCCGAGAATATAGCGATCACAGAGAAGAGACAAATTTGAAAAAATAGTAGTATTTAAAAAAAAACTCATCACATTGATTACTCCTAAATTTTAAAATTCGTAACTTTTCAAGGACACGTTCTAAGGACCGTTAAAAAACCGTGAAAAACACTGTACTTGTGAAAGAATCATTATTAGAATTAGGATTTTATGGATGTTAATTTTATTTTCTGGTAACATTGCTTTTATGCCTTTGATGTAATATAACCGTTAATGTTAATAAATTTCAATAAATAATTCAACAAAGAAAATGTTATTCACGTGTATCGTGACCTAAGTGACCACAACAGTTCAATATAATATCGATGTTATATCGCTCTTTACAGGATTGGCATAGCTTATAATCAATGAATTATATCGTGATGTTTATTAAAATCTTTTAATTTCATCAATTTTACCATCAACACCATCAAATTTCTGAACGGTCGAGTTTGAATACACCTCTAAAACTACATGGTGCAAACTTATCAAAAAATTATAATCAATTATGTGATTTTATTCAATTGAACAAATACCGAGTATTTAAAAACAATAATCCGGTTCTGTTTAGAGAGTATCTGATTTGGAAGATTCTCGATGCAACTTTGCGTTTATTGCATCCATTTAAGCGTAGTAAACTGCGAGCGATTCAAGCAGTGAAAGAAAACATAATTTAGAAAAATCGAACAATGAAGTGTTACAGTTTGCTGTTCATATTATTTTATTTAATCAGTATTATTGTTGCAAGACCTACAAATGATGCTGGAAGTAATATAGTTGATGTGTGGCTCAATACGAATTGCACGGCTCCTTACCGCTACATACATAATAAATGCAGACTAATTCATAACTATGGCCATTAGGTGAGTTTATACCCGAGAATATAGCGATCACAGAGAAGAGACAAATTTGAAAAAATAGTAGTAATTTAAAAAAAACTCATCACATTGATTACTCCTTAATTTTAAAATTCGTAACTTTTCAAGGACACGTTCTAAGGACCGTTAAAAAACCGTGAAAAACACTGTACTTGTGAAAGAATCATTATTAGAATTAGGATTTTATGGATGTTAATTTTATTTTCTGGAAACATTGCTTTTATGCCTTTGATGTAAATTAACCGTTAATGTTAATAAATTTCAATAAATAATTCAACAAAGAAAATGTTATTCATGTGTATCGTGACCTAAGTGACCACAACAGTTCAATATAATATCGATGTTATATCGCTCTTTACAGGATTGGCATAGCTTATAATCAATGAATTATATCGTGATGTTTATTAAAATCTTTTAATTTCACCAATTTTACCATCAACACCATCAAATTTCTGAACGGTCGAGTTTGAATACACCTCTAAAACTACATGGTGCAAACTTATCAAAAAATTATAATCAATTATGTGATTTTATTCAATTTAACAAATACCGAGTATTTAAAAACAATAATCCGGTTCTGTTTAGAGAGTATCTGATTTGGAAGATTCTCGATGAACTTTGCGTTTATTGCATCCATTTAAGCGTAGTAAACTGCGAGCGATTCAAGCAGTGAAAGAAAACATAATAATTTAGAAAAATCGAACAATGAAGTGTTACAGTTTGCTGTTCATATTATTTTATTTAATCAGTATTATTGTTGCAAGACTTGAGACAAATGATGCTGAAAGTCACATATTCGATCCGCCGCTCAATACGAATTGCACGGCTCCTTACCACTACATACGTGGAAAATGCAGACGAGTTTATAGAAATGGCCATTAGGTGAGTTTATAACCGAGAATATAGCGATCACAGAGAAGAGGCAAATTTGAAAAATTAGTAGTACCTAAAGGTATAGTCAATGTTGTGTTTTTCTAAAATATTTTCAATCAGTGCCTTCCACTGAAGTTATTTCCAATGAAAAGTGCTATTTTTGATTTCATTTTTGAAATCTGCGAACCTTTTTAACTAGGCTTTGATATTAACACCATATGGCAAAAATGCACTTTTATGTTATTTAATTTTTGGAAAAATCCATCGACTGTATTTTCTGTATGATATCTCTATACACCTAATGTTTGAAGATGGTAATGTTAGATGTTTGAAATCTGGCATCGATAATCTCCAGACCCATTACTGGGTGTTCATGGTCCACTTATAGGGCGTTTAAATTTATCTGACTAACTTGGGCAACTTAAAGTGGCTATAACTTTATGTTATTTCAAATGGACCATCCCATATTTTATGGCATTGATCATTCGATATTTTTAAGTTATCTAGATAGCAATTCGATGCTTTTAATTCGACATAATTTTTTTTTTATTTTAATTCTTTGAAATATATTATTGTTTCTCTTGTTTCAGCGAAGAAAAAGAAGCATATCCAATATCTATCAAAATATATCTGTTATATATATGTTATTAATCTGGGCTAAGTGATTATTTTTATTTAAAAATTAAATTTCTAGCCATTAATCTACACTTTTTTTGATTTTAATTGTGAACATAAAATGAAAATGTAAAAAAAACTGTTTATATACATAATATAAACATGTAATAACATGTTTATGTTATTGAAATGAATATACATATTTAAACTGTGAGTATTTGATATCAAAAAATGAATGGCATAATTTTACTACTAAATTTAAACAAATAAATCTGGGGCAAAATACCCCTTTTCCGACCTTCCTAGTAATACACCTACTAGTAACCTACTAATAACTCATTTAATAAAAGATATTTTTAAAAAATAATATTTTTCCTCATTCTAGAAAAGTGTAATATAAGCCCGCTTCAATATGTACATTCATTTCAAAAACACCCTGTATAAAAATGGTGTATCTAATGAACAATAAACTAATTACATAAGCTTGTAACTAATTTATTAAGGTGCAATTCCATTAACTATATATATTAAATACATATTCGATTTTCTTAACGAGCTCCAACATCTGTAACTCCAGTTTCGTTAGAATCTCTGTAACAAAGAAAATTGTAAACATTTAGTAATATACAAAATATATCAATAAGTTTAAACAAATATCATTATGTTACAAATAGTTACAAGCAATGAAAAAAAAAATCAAGGCACAATAGGAAAACCGAAATTAGAAAATATTGTACTCACGCTCGTCAAATAAGTGTGATAAAAAAATAAATCCACAAACAATAAATTACATTCAGGCTGTTGATATTAGCACTGTTTGAATCTAACGGTTTGCTAACAGTCAAATTATATCTCTCGAAAAAGTCTTCGTATGTTATCCACTCGCAACTTGCACAACTCGCCATAATTAATAAAACCGTAATAATTAACAAAATCCACGCCTTTACCATTTTTTATAATTTATAATTACCTACGATTGTTCGTTAATAACACATGCTTTATGCAATAAGTACCTAAAGCAAAAGGAAGTAGCACTATTTATCATCTAAGCAGATTTGTCATTTGGTTGGAATTTCCTGATTCCATTGGGTTTTTAATTATTTATGTAAACGCTAGACGTTTTGTAACTTATTTATTAATTTATTTCTATAAAGTGTATGCCTGCGGCTTACATATCCCTACAAGTCAGTGCAACTATTCAATTCATTTTTATTGCTGATACAAACACATGTTGATTCAATAAATTACCTAACTTATAAACTTCCATATACACCTAATAATCTAGTGCCTAAATTCACTTACACTGATTCAAATTCACGAATTAATTCGACTGGTGATAGGGTTTCAAGCACCGGCCGGTTCCGAGCATCACGAAGCCCTGCTGGCAATTCTCCCTGGCCCAGATGATGTTCCCTTTCGCTATGTCTCCCCTTTCGCGAAACAACGCGAAAAACTCTTCGTACGTGAGCCACTTGCTCCGAATCGTAGGTGTGACGTTCAAAATGAGGAAAATGAACAGGATTCGATTCCACATTGCCATTTTGGTGCCATACGAGCGCGGTGAATGCGTTCGATTTTTGACGATATTGTGGATCGATTTTCTTATCTGTTTTTCTTATCACTTTACTCGACGAGATAAACGCGTGAATCAGGTATTTAAACTGATTGCAAGATCGCGTTAAGTCATCATCTGGCGACGATGGAGAATCCAATAATGAATATTAATTAAATCATTTAAGTAATACAGTATCAATTAATTAACAGTAATTGTGCTGGTCTTTCGAATGAGGATTTTCCACAATGGACTCGACAAAATCAACTATTGAACCTATTACAATTTAATTGAACCTATTAATAGGTAATCGTAATTACGATTCATTTATTACCTATACGTATCGCTAGAAAAATTGCAAAAGTGTAAATAATTAAAAATAAACAGTCAACGTTATCAGTTCAACAAACAGGCAGGTAGGAGCATCCCGTTATAATCTTATTCTGCTGGATTTAATTTCTTATCAATCATCAGCTAAAATTTCTGAATTCATCCATCAGAAAAAACAGCACTTGCGCCGTCTTGCAAAAATTTAAAGAAATTTTTAAGCATGATTAATTTAATAAACTAATTCCGGCACTAAAATATCAATGTACCTTAACTTTGGTTGAAATATCTTGAAGCACTTTCCTTTGACGAAAATATATCCATTTCTGCAAACTTTTGGAGTCAAAAATGACCGTCCTCTTTTAACGTGACCTGTGTAGCTTAAATTCTGTTGTTCCGCCGTTTGTATTTCGTACACACTGCAGGAGACGATCAGAAAGAGCACCAAAAACACCGCGATTTTCGCCATTTTTCGCAATTTCCAAATATTTAATCAAGCCGACGCGTGTTATTAAAGAATTATGAGGAACTTTATCTGATTTTATCACACGTTTTAATAAACCTTCTTAAATAAATATATCTGTTTTATCCAAAATTGTGGATGTGATTATGATTCATATACATACACTTGATATATTTATTTGATCGATATGATATCGATTTTGTTTCAAATTCATCTGATAACAATAGTAGGTTAATTAATGAAGAAATTGCAATAGCCTTATTTATTTATCAACATTATTTTTTATACACTAATCTTTATAATATATTTGGTAATTTTACAAAGAGAATTAAAGGTCTTAAATTATCGATGTTGCATATCTTACTGGCCTTATACAAACAATCTAAAATCATTATGGAATAACCTTTACATCTATAATTAGTACACTACATTTCAAATATGCGAGTAAAAACTGGCACCTATACCATTTAATGTCGAGTGCTTGGTCGAAAAGTTCTCGGTCGATAAGTGCTTGGTCGATGAGTGCTCGCTTTAGTACTTGCCTTAGTGTTTGTCTTAGTGTTGGTTTTAGTTTTGTTGAGGAACAATTTGAATGGTTCCAAACAACCCTCTCCTGTAACGGAGAAACCGCTTCCCTCTGGGCAACCCTCCGGCACGTCGATGAGCTTCCTGCCTTCTTTGATCACGCCAGTTCCTGGTGTAGGCTGATAAAGAAAAAGCGACAGCATCAGCAGGAGGGCCAACGAGACATTCATGTTTGCTCAAAATTTCAACAACACTAATACGTTTACTTCAAGTCTCGAATTCAAGTCAAAAGTTATCGTATGTTTGCATGATAATTCATTTTGTGATGTAATGATGAATATATTAAAAACGAAATATACTGTAAAATCGATACAGAAGAGAATCATTCACAATCAAATAACACATTTAAAAAAATCTGTAATTACACTATCGACACTTCTGCTTTGCTTATTGTTAATAAAAACGATCAAAACAAAGGTATTATATTTTCAATTAAATTCCTTACAAATATATTCCTAAACACGAATTGTCAAGCGATCGTTTAGAACCAACCGTCGACATCATCAGGCTCGTCGCTTTCAGTAGTCGTAGTAACAGGCTCTGTAGTGGTTACCTTGCGCTCATCCGATTCATCTTCTTTTTCATCTTCTTCTTCACCTTCTTCTTCACCTTCCTCCTTTTCCTCATCGACTTTCGCCGGCTGCTCGTCGACTTGCTCGCCGTTGACGAAATTCAAATTGATGACTTCCTTCTTGTTCTCGTTGGGGTGCAGCACGAAGGTCTTGTTGAAGCTGTACACTTTGTTGAAGACCTTCGTGGTGTTGACGAGTTCCGGGATGTACGAGTGGTTCGAATGCTTGACGTTCTTGATGACCTTGTAATGGGGCCGTCTGCGCTTGGCGTGCCTCACCCTCGTTTCGACGGAGACGATCTGCGGCCGGAGGTGCAGCATTTGCATCAGCCTGTTGAAGTGCTCCGGCTCCACGTCGATGAATTCGGTGGGCACGTTGGCGTAGGGATATTGGCGTTGGGGCTCTGGCTGCGCATTTGTGGGTTTGCTCGCATTTTGTCTTAATTGGTTGCCTTGAATTGGTTGTTGTAGATTAGGATAAACGTAGTTTGAAGGATAGGCTAGTTGTGGTGTCTGGATGTTGACGGAAGGGTAGTACATAGGTCGCTGGTTTTGATTAATGGAAGGGTAGTAGTAAAGGGGCTGGCCGGTTTGAACGTTGGAAGGATTATACGAAGGTTGCTGGTAGGTAACAGGATAGTAATTAGGGTAGTAGTTGGATTGAGGGTTTTGTTGGGGATAGTAATTAACGTAAGGCGAGTAGGAGTTTGTTGGTTTTTTGGCGGCGTTTGGATACCAATATTGAACACTTTCTGGTCGAATATATTGTTGCGAATTTACGCAGACGTTCGTTAGAAAAAACGAAAGTACAAATGCAGTGAGCATTTTGGAAAACTGCGCGGTTAAATCTACAAGTAAACGAAGAAACTTGCGAGATAACTAATACAGTTTTGTGTCTGTTGAATACATGACCCGAAAATAAATCGTCCGAAATTGATAAGGATAATATTGCTCAGTATATTATGCTTCTTGCGATACTTTTTTACAGGATAACGAAACATTACAGGGTGAGCCTAAGTATTATTAAATAGATATTTACAAAAATGTATCTAACACGTGTGTAATTTACAAAAAAAGTTAATCTATTTTGTTAAGTTTATTCATAAAACATATCGTACAAATTTTATTAGTATTTTCCGCAAGTGAACAAAGACTTTTTGCCAATCGTTACCGCCTTGAGGCTTTAGCTACAAAGAAGAATTAGGAAGGAAAATTTTCACTCACTGTACCTCGTACAGTAAAGGTCCATTTGATTTACAAACTTTAGTATTTTTACGAGTACACTTTCTTGCATTTTTTTCGTATCATCCTGTAGGGTGGATTACAAGGAATATCAACCAGAAATCGGTTAACTACAGTAACATTTTTCACTGAACTGCCCTCGTCTTCTGTACTGTTCTCATCATCTGTATCTAATTCTTCAGTGCTGGTTGATTCGTCAGTGCTGGGCTCAGAAGCTTTGTTCATCAAATTAGTTTTATCAGGTTGCCCTCCAAATCGACTTTCTACAAAAATAGTACAACTTTTATATACTTGAATAAAATAAATTAGATTTTACTATCTCGTAAAACAAGTGATGAGAATGTACGGGTAAAATTCTCAGCCAATAATAACTAATTGTAAGCGAATGTAAAAGGTTTTGATTTTATTCAAACACCCTGTGAATATAATTTGAAATGGGATCATAAGATATAATAATGAGTTTATTTTTGTTTTACTAAAATTTATGTTTGATTACACAATTTGTATTATATCTAATAACTGTTTTAATGTCGCATTAATTTATTCAGAAGTACATACAGGATGTCCCGTGCTTAAGGTATTTAATAACTATTTCATATTATCCATATGTCGTAGGTCGTAGTGTTAAAAATTTTATTTATTAATTATTCATGTTGAGATTTTATACGGCTCAAATTAAAATGTTTTTAATCTGAAACTGATTTATTTGTTTTTGTCGATAAATTATTTTAATTAATTTCCAGGAACTTTTGTATCTAAATACAAGAATTTATCATCATATTAGGAGCAAATTAATACACCAATTTTGCAATAGCAACTATTTACTCGTTTCTCTCGGTGCATTGTTCCGACCAGTGTCCATGTATGTAGTTATGAATTTATAAGGTCACAATAATAATTTACATATACCAACTACATACATGTGTATAATTAAAAACGCGCCGAATAGGTAATAATAGACTCTCACTTACTCAATTGATGATTTTCCAACAATTTCATGAATTCATCTGGGTTAAGCATTCTTTGTGTCGTTGCTGTTGAAATAAAATGAATTGACACAACACTTATGATCACAAACAAAATTAACCCTAACTTCTCCATCGCTATTTTTTCTGTAGTTCCAATGCTAAACAAACACTGTGCACAGCGTGCGATTCTCCGTCTTACTGATATATCCGTATTTATTTGTAAATGACGCTACCGAACCAACAATGATACCGAACAATATACGAGTATCGAAATAATCTTAAAATTAATAAAAAAGTTAAATGTTTCTTGTTGTGGAGGTAGCCCGTCGTCGGCAATAACCGGAATCGCTAAAAGCTTAAACACGGCAATAAAATCCTTCGAATGTACGATAGGATTTCCCACTATTTAACATTTACAGGTCAATTAGGTATTAGGCATGTGCGATAGATTCATTGGAAATGATTGTTTGATTTGTTCAAGTTGCTTTAATGTAATGTGAAATCAAGTCGAATTAATTTAATATTCGAGAATTACACTCGTCGTCAAAAGTAGTGACTCACTTTTCTGAGACACTAAAATTGGAAATAAACAAACCAGAACGTAAAATTTCAAGCATGATTAGCCCAAAATATCTTTTCTTCGTGGTCCTAATGTTACATCCAGGTTTTGCAGGATGTGTGCAAGAAGAAACTGACTATAAAAAAGTCTATAATTTTGGCTACTGTAGTAATTGACTATAAAGGTGCTGGTAAATTCGACAAATCATCATCCACAAAATCCTTAATAATTTATTAACAGATAAATCTAAACTTACAAAGGCATCTTATCTTTTACGTAGGTAACATGTTTATTCACTAATATTATAACATATCACAAAATACAACTCTATGTATACAAGTTTGAAAATTTACAAAGATCATCGTTAATATTCAACAACGAAAAGAAGCATTTACTTTTTTAACACAAATGCAACGTGTTTATTATTAGATTTATTTCTTCATTATTGTTAATTGATTTATACACATTTTTGTATAATATAGTTCTTAATAAGATTCAGACCTAAGATAAAGAGCAGTTATACAACGACGACGTGAAAGGAAATATTTCGAAATATCACATATTCGAGGAAAATCCATGAAATTAACGTTGCTTTTGATAAGTTTAGTTAATTTCGCATAATTCAAATTAATCACTAGCTAATTAGAACGGATATAAATAATTGTGAACAAAATTCTCGATAAAATTGAAGTTGTGATTTGCAATTCTACTAAAGCGAACCACATCCTTCAAAACTAATTTATTCTACACGCAAAGTATTTTTCTAAATATTAATATTGCAATAATGAAAATCATGTTTTTTGATTTTAGAGAACATTCGTAAGTCCCCCAAAATATTTAACAGGTGCTTGAGCAGAAATTTAGCGTTTTTAACCTCATGGACTGTATATTCATTCAAAACTCACCCGATAGGTACTCTAAACTTGGACAGACTTCTTTGACGGATTAACAATAACTTTACTACAAGTAGTCTAGCATCTAACAAACAAATCCCTCTTATGTGGAGTTTGAGATAAATTTATAAATACGGAAACCACAACAAAATTATTCAGGAGAAATATGAGATCTGGAACTGCTTAACGAAAATTTCGAAAAAGTGTCCAAAGCCGGCACATTTTCCAAACCAAAATTATTTATTTGCTTGTTCGTATCACAATCCTCGACCTTTTCCAACACAGAATCCTCTCGAGCAGTCAAGAAGTTATAACAATTAGAAGAATCTCCTGGTTTGCTAGACGGCGACTTCAAAAAGCTGTACGAAGTAGAAGAACAAGAAGAATCAGAAGGCAACTCGAACAAAAGCGATTTATTTACGGCGCCTTCGCGAGTAGCAGTTAAGTCGTAACAAGTTGAAGGACTAGTATAATCTAAGGAACTTCCTACTAAAAATTTAGAATTTTTTTCACTAGCGGTTGGGTAGTTAAAGGACGTTTCAGGCAGCAGGGAATCTAATTTTAAACCAGCACAATCTGTCCCGGAGTGCTCCAAAGAGAACTCATTGAAAACACTCAATGAACTGTTTTCTTTATCTTTATCCTCGAAATCGAAGAGCATCGAAGACTTCAAACCGATTTCTTTAGCAAAAATTGAATTACTGCTTGATTGAATTACTTGTTTGTCTTCTGGCGAATTCAGATACAATTTTTCAAAGCCAATCAATTCCCTGTTCTGCAGCGTTTCTATTTCCACGTTGTCGTCCTTTCTAGCATCGTCGAAATAGCATTTCCGACTAGCATCGTAGTTGATTTCACCGCTAGTTGAGTCAATACTAGATACTTTATTTACATTACCTACATTAATGTCAGTTCTGGATGAGTTATTCTCATCGGTGGCAACCAGTGTTTTAATTGGAGATATTTCAGATGCTTTGATGACATCAAAGTAATCTACAACAGAAAAAGTTGTTGTTAAAAAGTGTTAAATTGGTTTCAGAAAGAGTATACAATCACCTTTTTTCCAGTCGTTTATTTTTGATTGATCGAATTGTGGAGCGTATTCATTAGAAGTTCGTTCTCCTATGTCGAAATCGAAACTCATTAAACTTGCAGGAACAGTATCAGTTTCTTCACTAATTTCGGAAACGTCTACGAATTTTGATTTTCTGATCGAGTCCTTATCGAAGTTAAGATGTTCTTTGTTCAATTCGGTGAAAGTTTTAGAAACGGGCTTGTTTAGTATGAGGGTATTGTATTTCTCGTCTAAACTCTTGCTTTTCTCTAAAATGTTGCTGTACTTCGATCCGTATTCAAAACAATTCGAGTTTGTTTTGTCTGATGGTTGATTTATCGAAGCGCTATCTGCCCCGTCGGGGCTCAAAATAGTCCCCATTGTTTCTTGTAACGAGATATGTTTCGCTTCGAATTCCTCGCTGCTCGAATGTAACGCAGACTCTTCAGTTTCCAGCAAAGGCGGCGACGGAGACAATCGCGTCTGGCATTGCAAAATCCGGTGCAATATCAACGAATTTTCCTGGATAATCTGCATCGCCATGTCGCTGTTCCTGCGCCCTTGTTTCGCGTGTCCCGCCAGCAACTGATCGAAACGCAAATTGACGTTATCCGCTTCGAATTCGCTCGGATCCGGTTCGGGTTTCTCTACGACTACTGTGGCACTTGTATTGTCATGTATCATAAGGCTGGCGTCGCCATCAGCGGGCAGATTGTCGAATTGACAGGGTTTGCTCTCGTCCGACGACGAGGACTCGGTCTCCTCGTCGCAGAGCTCCGTGTCGCTGGAGCTCGAGCTCGACGACTGCTTCGGAGCGTCCTTCCAATGCAACGTGCTGGCGGCGGCCGGTCTCGGCGGCGGGACCGGACCGATGCTCTTCGCCGGCATCAGGGCGCTCTTGCCTATCAGCAGGTGGTTCATGGTCACCGGCGGCGCCGGCAGGGATTGTCTGGAAATGGCCGCGGAGAAGATGATGTGGGCCTGCCGTTGTCGTTGCTTCAACTTCACGTACTGCTTCTTCAATCCGCTGATGTCTAAGGCGATGTTTTGTTTGGGGTGCAACTTCAGTTGCTTGTCCATGGTTTGTGGTATGGTGGCTTCCCATGGCGTCATGTTGTACGAATAATGTTCCCTGAGTGTTTTTAATTCCGTTAAAGGTCGTATGGCGACCACCGTTTTGATTAGTACGTTTTCGTCCACCTGCAGATAACGATGTTAGATTTTTCTTCACAAATTATTGAATTAAAAACTAACCAACTCAGCTTCGAGAAGCTCTCTGGTTAATGCGCCCATCATACAATAGAATTCATCAGCACTGCGCACTTTCAATATCCGATCGCTCAGAACTTGCCAAATCGCCAGCGCTGTACGCAGAAGTATCTCGTTGCCTTCGAGAAGTATAAGATCCCAAACACGAAGCACCGTCTGCTGAGGTAAACAGTTGGAAAACAATGTAAGAAACCTAGAACAACACAACTTCTATAGGCAACTCCTGATGGAAACAATTTACCGCGTGTATACCATTGCATGGTGAATACATTCGTTAATGGCGGCTCGTAGCTCCTGCTGCCGTCCTTCGCGGCGCTCTGCAAGGCGTCCAGGTGCTTAGAGAGGCGCGGGAACCGAGTCCTGAGCAGTTCCCGAAATACCGCCATGTCCACCGACAAACCCTTCAAGCTACCGGCGAAGTAGGAATCCGGCAGGACGCCTTCTATGAGGTAAATCATCAGCTTCAAGGCGTCGCTTTCGTTCTTCTCGGTCACTTGGAGAATCAGCGCGGCGAGCATGTTGAAGCCTTGGCAATAACCTGGAAAGTAAAGTCGGTTGAAAGGGAATCGGGTGTGGGGAATTGTCGAAGGAAGGTAAGCTTACCGACGGTTTTGTTCCACCTGGCGTAGGCCAAGAGAACTCGTTTTAATAAAACCTGGTTTTCTTGGCCGTCCTTTCCGCAGAATAGACTGCAACCGGTCCTGTGCAGGTCTTTTACGATCTGCACGTCCAGTTCCGCGTCCGCGGGATGGGACCACTCGCTGAAGCATGTTCTTTCTGCTTTCGACCAATCCACTCCTGCGTTAACAGAAAAAATCGTAAAGTTGATATGAAAATACAAGACAAAAATATTGGTAGATTGAAGAGGAAAGTCCAGTAGCTTCCAGCAGTTATTAATCTGTTAATCTCTTGTTTGATATTTGCACTGTGAAGACTATACTGTACCTTTTGATGCTAAATGCCTTTCAGCCAATTGCAGCCACAGTCTTTTTCGAAATTCCGGGGGGATGCCGCCTTGTAATTGAGCTACCATTTTCATTGCGTTCACCCATTGGGTAAAGTCCGTATCGCCGGGAGCGGTTTGGTTTTTGAAACGCGAATTTTGAGAGGGTTCACCTTGAGGCACATCTGGAATTACGTGAAAATTTCCATGTAGTGTGCTATAAATATTTTATAAGTAAACAGCAGATAAAATTTTATCAGTTATTTTCCATCGATTTTCTGGTTTTGTCAATTATATTAGGTAGATGTATTGAATTATTTTCTATACCGATTGGTACTTTCTTGTACTAATGAAAAATGTTCCTACTCTAAATTTGATAAATACTTATGTACTACATCGATGCAACTTAAGTAAAGTAGCAATATTTACGCATAATATCTAATTTTTTAAAAGAATTGAAGTAATGATAAAATTCAGCAACTTAATGAATATTTAATCGGCAAAATGTCTAACAAGAACATATAAACTACAGCTCGATTTTACTACAGCAAACCAACTAATCTACTTATAGAAAATTAACTTACTAGTCCAGGTTTGAGCGTCAGTACTAGCACCTGCTTTTATGAAAGAATTGAGAAAATTGCTCATTGGTACATCTTTTGTACCAGGTCATATCTCGTCGATAACTAACTGATTTACTGTCCTCCGCGTATTTTATCAAAACATTTATTATAATGGAGTCTTGGTCGTATCCTTGTTTAGTCCTGGCTGATGTCTAAATGGGAATAAGGAAAGAGACGTTACGGGGATCGAAACGAACCTAAAACGAGGGAAATTTGTCATTATCCTTATTCCTCCGCTGCTGTTGGAGAGAGAATGCGAAGCGGCATCGATTTTTCCAGATGCGCAGAGAAATTAGGAGCCAGGATATATCAAATATACCTTCTCTATATTTAGCTTCACGACATAATGTGATGTGAGTAGGAGTTTCTTTTATGCATATCTTGATAAGGGCTATTATTCGGGCCGTCATTAAATTGTTAGCCTTTTAATATTAACCAGATTCATGAGAAAAATAAGTAATTTGCGTTAGTAATAATGTCATAAATGTTAGTTAATATACCAAATACAGTAATTTCACAAGTATTTATTTAGAAGAAGAAGCATTGTAAATAAATCAATCAATTTGAGTTATGATACCGGATGGATTCGATCCAATAAAAGACACTTGCGATCGATGTCCTTCCGAATGCGGCTCCTCATCTTTGCTCAAAGTCAATTTCGTCCTCTTCAATCTGGGCTTCCGCACTTTGAAGTCCTCGAACTTGAACCCTCCCCCGGTCTTCTTCAGTATGCCCAATTGCCATCCCTTGTTCAAATAACGAGGCACCATCGGCAGGACTTCGTGAGAGGGCCTTCGGCTTTTTTCGGCGATGCAGAGCCTGATGTTTTTGGGGTTGGCTATCAGCCCCAGGCGCTGCAAAGAGGCCACCGAGCCTATGATAGTCGTGGCCGCTCTCAGGTCGGATTTAAAATCGTTCCTGTACTTCTTCTTGGACTTTCTGTGGACCAGTTTCTTCGCTGCCAGCATCTCTGCGACACATTTATGCACCTTCGCGGGAAATAACCAGCGACAATGTCGAATGACTTTGGGAAGCTGTTGTCAAAATTAATCGAAATAGCCATTGGCGCACTTTGTAAAACCAATAAATATGGCGAGATTGGAGAGATGAGTGGAGAGGTGCAATGTGGTTATTTCTATGAGTTGAACAAAGAAAGATTATTAAAATAACAGTCGTTAGAGTGGGAAAGTTACAATCTAACAACACATCACTTTTTCATTTTCCTACCATTCATTCATACAAGAAGAATACCAAGTAAATTACCAATAGAAATAAAACAATTTACTAAACTTAAACGTGTACATTTATTTTTAAACTTATACTACATTAATCGCCTTCGTCGAATTTAATATGCTGAGCCATTATTTTCTCGGCCTTCTTCAACAATTTCTCGCGCCCCCTTTGTTTTTTAACGTTTTTGGAAAATTTGTGTTCCCTGTCCACTTGGATTTTCTCCCAATAAGTTTGCTCTTCGTCCCCTTCCAAGAGGGTCTTCTCTCCGGTGAAGTCTTTGGTGCAGAATTCCTTGGCGCCTTTGTTGTTATTGAATCTTATGAATATTTCGTTGGAGCATCCTGGAATTGGAACGTCTATGTACTTTATTTCGGAGGATACCAGCTTGGCGTCGTTCTGTAAAAGCGTGAAATGAGTGATAATTTACAAAGGGTGTTGGTAGAAAGTTACCTTGAATTTTTTAATGTCTATTACAGGTTCGGGTAACTTTAATTTAACTATAACTCCTGGTAGGAATTCCAATTTTGGCGCAGAATTCTCCTTGGGTTCTTCCTTGAATTGTGCCACATCAGTTTGTTGTTGTTTCCTGGATTTATCGTAATTTCTTTGGCTATATTTTTGTCTGTTTAAATACTGCTTGAATTCTTTCATTTTCTTTTTCTGCAAGTCTAAATATCTGTTCCTCATTTTCTTCCATTCTGGCCTATAAAACACAAATTTTACAATCATTAATATTTTAGAATTTTATTTTGCGTCCATATACTTACTTAGATAGAACCTGAATCCCTAATTCTTGGATCAAATTCTTTTTCTTATCTTTTTTATGTTTCTTCTTCTTTTTGTTTTCTGTATCTTCCATCTCAACAGCCTGAATTTCCTCTTCTACCAATTTTTCATCAATATTTTCTATTTTTTGCTTCTTACTCGCACTTTCTTCTGCCGTTTCTTCTAATTTTCTCTTGACTTGTACACTTTCATCAGTACTTTGCTCAACCATTTCACTGCCATTATTTTCTTCATTCTTAACTTCACTTAAAGTTTTCGACTCTTCTTCTAACTTTATTTCATTTGAATCAGCATTTTTGTTTGTATTTTTGTCAACCTCTTCATTTTGTTCGTTGCCATCCTCGAAAGTTTGTATGCTTTTTAAATTTTCCGGGCTAGTTTCGGAGGGCATTTTACAACCGATGGTTTCAAAATAAGTCAAAGCATTCTGGGCTCCTTCTTCATCTTGGAATTCAACAAAGGCGAAACCTTTGTTGGTTTTATTATGCTTGTATTTTGGAATTGATACATAAACTACTTTACCGAAATCTGAGAATAACTGAGAGATCCACTCGTGATCAGCGTCTGCTTTGATGTTTTCTACATATATCGTGCATTTGTCTACATTTTCGTTAAATTTAATAGGTAACTTTCGTTTCACCTTGTCTCTGTCTTCGGATAGTTCTATTAACTCTGATTTACCTATGGCTTTACGGATATCTTCAATATCGCAATTTAATTTTCGGATTTTGTTGAACTTTAAAAAAATGCTCAAATCAACATCTGAAAAATTACAAAATTTATTCTAAATGCTTTATGAATCAAAATATGTTACTTACAAGGAGACTCGTTGATCTGCTGAATTAAAAAACGATCCTTTGATAGGTTAGAATCGCTGAAGTAAAATTCCATTAACTTGAGAATAGAATTGTACAAATGTTTCTTTCTGTGTCGTCGTTTCTTAGGTATCTCCACGTTTTCATAATCGTCTTCGCCCATTTTGAAACAATATAATTTATAAATTACAAAATAACACCGCTTTTAATTTTCTTCAACACAACATCAACAATCAAAAACCGTGCGTTTATAATTTTTGACTTTTGATAGTGACATTGTTGACAGTTGACTTACATCTGACCTCCCCGTACAGCAATTACAACAAGGAAGAAAAAGAGGGAGTAATATAAATCAGTGTGATAAAAAGTAAAGGAAATATCTGTTAATTCGGAGTAATTCCTTACAAATGAATCGAACGTACTCCATGTCTGTCATTGTAAATAGTGTCAAAGTCAAAAACACAAACAAGTCGAGCGAAAAATACATAATTAATACGAAAACTAATTAAAAACTACAAAACAACAACAATTATAATGCATATTGGCTAACTGTTGCAATTTCAACAATTAACATGGAGAGCCTACCGGTAGAAGTCATCGAAGAAATATTAATAAACGAAAAAGTTTCCATACAAGATGTGGTTCATTTTTCCTTGACTTGCACTCATTTTTATCAAGTCGTTACGAATAGTAACAAGATTTGGAAGACCAAATTTCATCAAAAGTACGTACTTCATTTCTCTTTTACATCAATCCTAATCTATTCCTAACTCCAGGTGGCCACAACTAAAAACTCTGCTGGAAAATAAACAGATTATTTTTCAACATGAAGTCCGATATATTTACGAATTGAAGAAGAGAACCCGGAATTTACTCGAGAAAATGCCCGCCAAATTCTATAAGAGATACGAAATATCAGATTCGGACTTGTACGAATGGAACAACATATTACACGAAAGAGAAGAAGTTTACAACTACCTTGTTTTGGATTTGATGGAAATCGTAAATGCTGACGTACCGATTAACAGTATAGAAGTTGTTCCGTTAACGTAAGTTCTCGATTAATTTACTCGATTAAGAGTTACTAATTGTCTTTTCTTAGTACTCCTGGAAATAAAACATTCCAATACTACGCCGGAAAGGTCCTTAGATATATAAGACAACAGCACTTATCTAAAGTTTGGAAAGAATACATATCATTACCGGAGAACCAGCAAATTCTTGAAGTCGGAGCTGTTTTCGTGGCTCAATGGTGTCAGCCTAACGTCGAAGTAACAGTCGAGGATATCGGCAAAAAACTGGATGATATTGCTGAAAAAGTTAAAGAAACTCTAAAGGATTACTTTCCAGACCATCCGCTTTTTAAGGTAATCATAACAATCGTTCTATCCTAAGCATTAATGAGATTAATCTTTGAAGGCTACTGAAAAACAATTAAATTTATGGCGCTCGGTCAATCGCAGCCAACACGCATGGAGAGTAGTCGAATGCCGCCAACTCATAACAGTACTGAGAATCGTACTGTTCGAAGACATGAAATTCTGCGGAAACAATCACGCCTACTACATGCCGCAGAATTCCTTTATTAACGAAGTCCTGGAGAAGAGACAAGGCTTGCCCATAACGTTGGCGATAGTTTTCGAAGGAGTCGCCAGACGTTTGGGCTTGAGATGCGAGCCTATCAGTTTCCCCGCTCATTTTCTCCTAAGGTAATCATAACGAGCTAACATTCCGGTTTATTTTGATGGTATTCGTTGAAGGTTTTGCGAGAGTTTAGACCCCGAATCGGATTGGTATTACATCGATGTCTTTAACGGCGGGCAAATAGTTAGAAAGGGAGCCTGTCCTCACAGTAGATTTTCCGGTTCGAGAGATTTGTTCCCAGTAGCTACAGCTGTGCAGGTTTGTTGATACTGATAGTAGATGAATAGAGTAATTTAAATCATTTTATAGGTAATCGAACGCATGGCAAACAACTTGGAAGTATCGGCTAGACAACATAATCATCCCAACTGTAAAATAACAAGGCTCAGATCCAGTTTGGAATTGTTAAAGTTAGTTAACCCGCGAGATATATCAGCGTTGGTGAGTTTGGCGAGATTGTACATGCTGCACAACATGGACACCAAACCGCTCGAAAATTTCCTACTTTCGCAAGAATTCGAAGTACCCGAACAAGCCCAAAGGTTACTCACTATAATATATTCAATTTATTCGGTAGAATAATATATTTAATTCCAGAGTGGTTCACATGCTTCGCGACTACGAGGCCCATCACGCGCGCAACGATCTCGGTTTGTTCAGTCAAGTGGAAGCGGCGCCGCGCAGCCCGAATTTGTACTACGCCGTTGGAATGGTGATGAAACACCTGATACTGAACTACAAGTGCGTGATATACGATTGGGATCCCATTTGCCTGGCGGCGGCCGAATGGCAGGCGCAGAACAACATCGAGAAGCTCCAGCTCAAGCACGAGCAACCTTTCTACAACGTCCTGGTGGAGGACGGGTCTCATCGATACGTGGCTCAAGGTACGCTCTAATCTATCGAATATATTTTTGATGGTGTCCGTGGAATTTTTTAGAGAATTTGACGCCGACTTCGGATAGGGAAGACATCTATTTGAACGAGGACGTGGGCAGGCATTTTTCGCATTACTTCGAAACTCATTACGTTCCCAATGCCGAGAAGGAGAAGGAGTATCCGGCCGATAAGAAGATACGCCATTGGTTCCACCATCAAAGGAAACTCGAAAGTATTAACTTGTAATCGATGCATGGCGGGTTGTTTTTATTGTTGATTATTTATAAAGATGAGTTTTTTTTATTTTAACAGTCGATACAGATCTGTTTAGTGGAGGAGAGGCGGGTTAGTGGATTGTTTTTAAATCGATGTCTTGTATCTTTCGGGTTATAATTTATTTTTGTCTTGGCAGTTTTTATTTACTTGTTTTAATATGTTTATTTTATTGTATAGATTAGTTACATGCAAAAGATGTTTAGCTTGAGAATTTTCCTATAAAATGAACCTGCTTAACAATGAACTATAATTTTACTCGATTTATTTTGCGACATATTTCTTTCCAGTCATAATTGTTATATTTCTTAAGCTTCTCGATATTATTACGCACTGCTATTATTATTTCAATATTCCGGCAATACTTTTAAGTTTATTACCATACAATGCAGTTACTACATTGTCTTGATGTTAAAGATAAGATCAATGTTAGGTATTCTACATGTTTCCCTTTATTCGGAGTTGACATTTACAGCCAGTAATATTAACGAAGTGTTGAAATAATATAACTGACTGCTTCTTTGATATTGTCGAATTAGTGATAGAGTTTTGATAATTAATTTCAACATTAATGTAATTTGTAATGGATCCAAAAGGGGAAGTGCATTTCCATAAACACCGAGTGGTAATGGTAAAATATTGGGAAGTTAATACAAAGAGAACTGGATTTTTGAGTAACGTGAAGAATATTTTTATCTAGAAATATCTATCTTTTAAAGTTTGTTTCAATTAATATTCTGTATTAGTACATTCAAGAAAAAACCGTTTTTTCCTACTTTATAGGGAACTTTGAATCTCTGTTGGACGTCACGTGTAATAATTAATAAAATATCTCACCCTCTGTGTGCTCAATGTAGCTTACTTAAATGACTGGAAGGTGTTAAAATTGAATTAAGCCGGCCGGTTTATTTCGGTTAGCTTGGGTTTTCAATAAACTTTAATTTACTCTAATTGTGGCAGTAATTATTTACGTTTTCATTATTGTAAATGTATAAAATAAATGTGATGAATGAACGATGTTTTTTTCGCAACGACTATTTATTCTTTTAATTATTAAAGAAATTTCTTAAGCATCATTAATGAAAGGTGCCTTGGCCGATGGCATTGCCTTTGCTTAGTCACGGTTACCGAGAAACGAAAACAAAATCTTTTAAATGTGGAATCTTCGTGAATAATCCCCGTGAATCAGTAACTTACGGTAACTTTCGTTTCATCTGTAGATAAAACTGATTATCACAATTTCATCAATTTTGAAGTGCCATTAAAAACCAGTTTCGTTACCCAACGAGTTGGGAATGTATTGCAAGATTTCGTAGACAATTCTCCTCTTCGTTTGCTGGAAAGGTCATTTAATCGAAACATATTTAACACACTTTAGCGAATATGCTTGGAAAATATTTGTTTACCATTTTGATGGGTCTTGTTTTGTTGAATGCTGTTGTTAGTAGTGATAGTGACTCCAAAATATGGACACCTGATGAATTCGAAGCGCTTTTAAGTAAGTAAACACGTCTTAAAATTTAAAATGCATTTATTTTGAGGTGTGCGTAAATCTTTTTTAGAACGAATAGGAGAATTAAAAACGAGAAATTCTCATCCCGCACCAGAAACCACTACAGAATTCGAAATAAACATGAGGAATATCTTCAAAGTCGATTGTTTTGAAGGATACAAATTAGTGCATGGAAGATGTAGAAGAGTTCATCGAAATAAAAGTTTGTAATTTAATATGTGCAAATTGTGTTAAATCAAAAATTCCTATTATTATTTAGATGTATTAAACCTATTATGACCTATTATGAATTTTAAGAATTACAAAAAGAATTTGAAAAAAATATATTTTATAAAATAAACTTGTGCTATTCAAGTTTCCTATAGAAAGTGTATAAAAACCCAGCATACAATATTCATAAGATTAGCTTCATCTTTTATTGTTATCTAACTATATTTATTACTCTGACGCATTGTTTACGAAATAAATTATTAATTTATTCATCTTTTTGTAAGGCTTAAACATTACCAATTTGTAAATATTAGATACCTCGAAACGTAATTATTTATTATTTATTTATTGTATTTTAACATATTCAATATACAATACAGTAAGCATGATTTTTAGTATCTAATTACACAATTTTCTTTTTACAATATCATTATTCCCTAAACACAATTGCCACTTTCAAACGTCTCCAATTGATGTATTACCCGACACAATAAACACACTCCGCGTATTCCGCACGTATCATCAGTAATTGAAGTGCGGGTATCAGGGGGGTGGCACTTACTCTTGAAAATTTTGGAGAACGATTTGCAACGCCATCTATAGGGGCCCAACAACATTTTCTGTTGCCGAAGAGCATTGGCAGCTAAGTCAAATCTAAATAATGGAAAAGAAGAATTCCTAAACGAATTGTTATTGTTTACAGTACGCCATTACGCCATTATGACATTACGCGTAAACGTTTATTTTTATAAAGTAAGTAGTAAAATTGTTCTTAAATTAAAATGTATGTCATTTATGTATTATATATTATTATCCTTTATTTATTTTATTTTTATTATATATTTGAGTGTATTATTTAGTAACAGTTCAATATAAGTATACAGCAAATATATGTATTTTTAATTCCTAACTACAATCTCACCTGCTACATTTAAATGTGTGAGAATTCCCGCCAATAAATGCTAAAATCTCATAGGTTCCTGTAATAGGTTTTGTTGGACCCCAATGGATGGCAGCACATTCAGGCCAACCACTTTTTTGACAGAGTGTCCGGTCTATATGTGTATTTTGTCTATGGCGGGTATGTTAATCTCCCGGTTTCGTTAATTACGCCGCCGTATTCCGTTCGCCGAATTCCGGAAACTATCGAGGACTTGATTAATTAAATTAATTACAAGTCTTGACACTTCACCGCGTAATGCCTTATGACACATTCGATTTTGTTTCTACCAAACTTATCCGCAACGAACTTCTGTTTGTCATAATTTTCCCGCAACGCCGGAGAGTTTCGCTAATAAACTCCGGCTTACGAGGTTCGCTTTGTGTTGGTTACTACAGGGTAATACAATCCTAAAAAATATAATTTATTAGCTACAAAAATTGGGAGGAATGGAGGGTCAAGTTTTCTAAACCAAATAAATTTGTCCACCCTGTATAAAAGTTTCTTCCATAGTACATGTGCTATGGTATATCTTTAACAATCCTTTACACTGTAAGAAAATGTATACAGGGGTACCTAAAATTATGTTAATATTTATTATTATTTAACCAATCCTTTAATATTCCACTCTAATACCCTCATCACCATTCGTTTCTTTCGAATCATTTGTGAGTTATTTAACTATTATTTATGGACTATTTATAATTTTACTTCTGGTCGAATAGTTTTTATAGTGTAGGCACGTTTACTGCAGAAATTGTTTGAACTAAACTTGCGCAATTTGGAGCAAGCAACTTGTTAAATTTTATTACCTAATACCTGCTCGCCGTCCATCGCGCAATCGGAATTAAATTGAAATCGCCCGGAAGAGTTAGTTCTATACGGCAAAAGTAGACAAAATAATTAAAACAACGGGTTTACATTTTGTAATTTTCCCGATGGCAATTAATTCGACGTTAAAGCGTAAAAGTATTTGCGAACGAACGTTACAGTAAGAAGGAAGAAGTCCTTTTTCGACAATAGCACGTTCGCTGAAATCATTATAAATGTTTCGAGCATTCCCCGGCGAATTGAGACGAAAATATACAACAATGGTGGAAAGTACATTTTGGGTCGCGTTATCAAAGGCCTGCAGCTTCCTGATAACGCCAATACACACGGCATCCAGCCAGTACGGCGGGATGAATAATAAGAAAACGAGGTGGAGGTGGAGGTTGGAGGAGCCCATTTAATTCGGCCGCGTCTTTTGTTATACGTATAGCGCCGTCAGGAAGCTCTGATGTACTTGGGGGACGCTAAATTTATTACATCCGAAGCGGAGGTTTTCTTTTTTATGCCCGACGTTCGCCGATAATGAATAAACTATTTGGGAGTTTCGATTTCGCCACTCCTGCGAAATTTCCTTTGTTCCCCAGTATTGCATTTCGATGAGCTATGGAAATTCAACTTTTAACTGAGAACTGGAAATTAAAATTCCTACTAATTCCGACTAATTGCATCGAGTTTAAAAGCAAATAGTTTACATACTGAGTGTTCATCGGCGAAACATCCAAAGCGCTCCACCTCATACGAATCCTTCGAGCCTTTGATTTATGTTCGATGCAACTAACCAGCTCCCTTACTAAAAATTAATGAAACCAGTAGTTTATTAAGTAGAAGCTATGAAAACACGCAACCGGTATTAATTATTGATTAATGCTAATGGATCGCGCAAAATGTTATCTTTGAGTTATCTGTTGCTTTACCAATAAATATGATGCCTCTTACACGCCTCACGATGCACCGCGTAATATGTAATAAGAATCGAAGAATAATTGATACTAGAGGTTGGTTTTTTTTATAGTGCAGCCGGTTTATTTATTCCAACTGCAGGAAAAGGTGTCCTAAGGGTGAGTATATGCAGCAACTATATAAAATTGCAGCATTCAAACAATGTCGGGGAATATTTTTCAACACCTATTCTCACGGGGTGGAAATTGACAAAAAGCGCGGCCAAATTGGGAGTTATTTTTATGGAAGCGCCGAACTGAGACTCCAGTACACATCCGCCCCGCTAAAACAACAGGAAGTGCGCCCGTACGGGCGCCGAACGCCAATGCGACACAACGTTTGCATTTTCCCCAATAGAAAAATACCTTTGTATTTTATTTCGCGAATTTTCTCCATTGTCGTGTTCGCAGTCGACGAGCGAATTCTTAAACAAAACGGACGTTCCCTTTGGTATACTTGCTACAGTCGCTATGCAGGGTCTTCCAATGCTGCTCTATTATCCTGTTATTACTATAGAAACGAGAAATTATGAGACGCTAATATGCTTTATTACTTCGAGAGATTAATCTTCTTGATGGAAATGGCATATTTTTTAACTCGTAAATTTCTCTTAACAGAGAAAATTTTAGGAAGTAAACAAACGCCACTGGAAGTGATCGTTACGGTATGGTTCGGTGGCTCTCAGGCCCTTGTAAACAGTGAGTGTGAAGACCAGCAGTTTACCGGATTTACTGCTACATAAAACGCCCAGTTCATGCTCTCTTCCAAAACTCTTCGCCGCGCTCTTGTTTTTGGTATATGACTACAGAAAACAGAAAACTTTGCTTGTTGGGGTTATATTGCCTGTTTTTAGCGCACCATCGTGTTTATGTGAGAGCATGAAATATTACTTTCTCCGAGATTTTAGTGCTAGAGCTTGCGGTCAAGATAAAAAGTTGCCGCCAATGATGGTAGTTCTTCTTTGCGATAATCGAGTTTAGAAAAAGAGAAAATTTAAATCGCATTCTACTCTACGCCATTATTTACAAAGCGGAACTCCATTATAGAATTAATGTACCAATTAATTTATTATTACAATTTCGTTAACCAAAATTCCAACCTCTCCAGCACCTCTCAATTTAATAACTAAATCACATTACTAAAACTATTTAAAAAGTTTACCTACCAAAACATCCTCCAACGATCTAATAAACTCGCTAAAAAAATCAATTACCAGCGTTTTAACGATCGCGAAGTTGGTAAATTAATAAAGTTGAAACAGGAATTCATAGATCCTCATAACGTGGCATGAAGCGCCTTAAACTTTTGTAATACAAAAGAGTGATAGCAATAAATTACGCTTAAGTATCTTATATGTGTTTCGGAACGAGCTGTTGTTGGTTGTTGAGCCAAAGTGAAGGCCAGTCGATGGCCATTAGCGGAGGGTAGTTTTTTATTCCATCGATCGGTCATAAATATTCCTGTCGATAAGTCGATTATACATACAAGGTGATCAGAAATAAGCTGAATTTATTTCTAGCTGGATAATAAATTAATTATAATTACTAGTATCTACGTTTCCACTAATTAATAACTATAAAAATCCAGTTTTTTTACCATTTTACTGCTAAATCATTTGGCTTTTACGTTTTATGGATATTCAAATGGGCAGTAATATATAAAGTTTTAATTTTGAAGCGACATAAAAATAAAATAAAACGAGATTATGAACATATAAATGAACAGGAAAATAGCATATAACTGGTAACTTATTCAAATGGCGTTTTAAAACTTAATTCGTGTTTAACAGAAAATCCATTCGAATCCCAGAAATTCTTAAACTCTAAACTCTAATTAGTAGTAGTAATAGTAGGAGGAGAGCTTTGAAATTTGCGATGTTGGAGAGTTGGGAAGCAAAAGGGGAAACGGGACTGTAATGAACAGACTGTGGCAACTGAAGTGAAATCTAAAATCGGACTACAAAGGGACAATTAACAAAGAAGTAATATCCAACGAAAAAAGAACTTCCATTTTCTGAAAGTTTTACAATATTCGCGATTTTTTCATTTTTCGTTTTTTCCCGTTTTTTGCGTTCGATTCCGTAATGGGTTTTTTGTTTGTTTTACAAAATGCCCTAGGCGGGAGTAAGAAATATATTTTGAAGATTGATTAAAAAACGTGAATGCAGGATGGGAATGAAAACGTAAATTTTGTGAGCGCTTGTTTTTTATGCCTTTCACTCCGGGTAGGTAGATAATACTGAGCCTTTTTAAAAAAACCCACTTATTAAAAATTTTTCTATTTAATTTTCAATAAAAAAACTATTGTAATAAAATTCCTAATGATTTATTAAATTCAACAAAAAAATCTTACATAAGACAACGAACAATCTGTACAAGAAGAAACGTTCAAAAAGACTATCACAATTGTTAAATAACTAATTTAACGAGCAACATTTCTACTACAATTTTCTCGTGGCAAATAATTAATTAGAAGTGAACTGTAAATACATAACGTAATTTAGTTACTTACTGTATTAACCAAATTAACACCTCGAATCCATGAGTAATTTAATTAAACACCTCCTAATTGATTTGGTCTATGAAACCTAATCGATGTGTTAATTATTAATATACTTACAGTTCTATCTGGTTAATTTATTAGCCGCAATGAGAATAGAAAGATACCTATTAGAAATGATTGGATAATTTTTTGTGAAGCTGCCGACGATTTTTAAATAAATTTTAAAAACCCAAATAAACCTACTACTCAAAAAATTGTCCCAATCATTTATGTTGTAGTCGATAGGTGCTGGGAAACAGGTAGTAATAACGTAAAGAAGAGAAGTTAAGGGATAACAATTGCGAAAATTCTTCAGTGCCAATGGAAAGGAACTCCTCCGTGACTGTGGTGATCATCGCTTTTCTTATGGTGGTGAATAGTTTTGTACACTGTGTGCGTGTGTTTAACCGTATGAATGTGCTCGGGGATGATTATTTTCACGTGGTGACCACCGTGACTGAAAAAAAAAATTAACCATTATTACTGCGTTATCAGACATTATTTATACATTATAACAAATACATGGGGTTAAAGATGCGATTTCTAAATAAAATATAAACTCACCCTCCTGCGTTAACTCCACATATCGCTGCTAGGACGGAGAAGCACCACACAAACTAAAACATCAAATATAATCCAAATGTAATGCGAAATTTAAAATTATTCAATTAGTACCTACCCACAATTTGGCGTTCATTTTCGCGTTATGATCGAAATAAAGCAGACTTAATTGTGGCATGCTCATGATCGCGATAGGGTTTTTATACCAATAATAATCTGCTCAAGCAAGCGGTGAGGGGCTGGAGATAGTAGAGTAGGCATTAGATATTACCTGCTTCTTCGATAATGTGTGTATAATAAAAGAATGCGTGGATATTACTTTCTCCAGGCAAGCGGTATACATATACAGGTAAAAATATATTTTTTTTATTTAATAGCGTATTATTATGCATTTCTCCGCTAATTAATTGCAGGATGTTCGCTAGAATATAAGCGATACTGTAATAAATTAATTCTATTTCCTATTAATTATGATAACAAGTCACCTTGTAGATAATTTTTTAATAACGCGTTTCCAATCATACGAAGATAGACAAACAGTGGATTGAGACACCCTGTATATTGTTATAGCGCAGATTAAGGTCGGTGTTACACATAACGAGGAAGTTGGAAGTGGGTCCGATGAATATTAGATACAAATACCTATGGTGCTTTTTTTATTTATTTATTCTAGTCCATTTAATTATGTAATTGTTATATAACGAGGAAAGTTGCTGTAATTATTTAACTATGTATAACAAACGCGTATACTTTAGTCAAAGAGTTATTTTATTGTTGTATGGTATCCCCTTTGGCGTTCCTGAGGCAGTAGATGATGGTTTGTATAAAATGAATATTAAATAATTACGGTATATTGAGGTCATTAAATAATCAAGGAAGAACATAAATGAATAAAACATGTATTACAATGAAAGTAATTAAAGCAGTAGTCAATATTCTTAAATCTGAGGAAATTTGATACCCTGTGATATTGAATAAAAAAGGCATAAGTTTCAACACAAACCACAAACAGTAGAATGTACTCGTACAAACGTAAGCTTTGCCATATTCCGCTCTTTTTCAATATTTAAACACGGTAATGAAGTCGAAAGCAGCCAACCAATCCCATTTGCTTGAATAAACATTGATTTAAAGCTGCAAATATAGGTATCGTCGACCAGACTGATTTTATATTGATTGATCGTTCCCATTCCTCCCGATATATCAGATCGCTATATTTTTTCCCTTTTTAATTAAGCATGTTTCAAAGGATTTACCTCTGGAACATACCTCCATAGAGACACGCCAATTAGAGCCGTTTCTCTCATAAACACCTTTGCATTTTAATACTCTCCCGCTCCATCCCGAACATATATTCGGCGAAACATCCGCAGCGACAAGGCGGAATGGAGACCATCAGTTAACTTCCAGTTCCTTCGACGTGACGCCCGTCTAGTGGATTTTAGCCGGCACTTAATAACGTTACTCTTTCCACTACAGCCGTCATTAGTTCGAATCGACGCACGGGCGCCGGGGAAGGCAAGGAATCGAAGAAAAATAATGCCACTACAATAGCGAAATGAAATATATCGACGGCCATTCTAGTCGACACCAGCTTTATTATCTTTGACCCCACGCGCCATGTCATCCAGCTAGCAGACACCCCGAGTTCACAAACAGCTGGACGAAACCAGTAATAGAATTAGAATTCAATAGAAAATTTTCAGGAGAATTCATAATACTTTTTACTCATGCATTACCAGTTGTCATTGGATTATTATTCTCTAACAAAAACCAATAAAATTTCAGATAATCTATCATCTTCTTTGACATTGCTTCAACCAAATATATTTTTTAATTCTTCTTATTCGTGGCTGATTCATTTTTCTCTGTTCATTTTTAGTATCTTTTGCAGTATTTGTAGAAATTGCTAATTAAATTTCGTCCATCTAGAATACTAGTCAGTTTCACAATTCGTCAGTCTGGCATGCTATATGAAACTTCCTGATGGAACTAATTGGTTAGACTGGAGAGTTTATTCAGCTACATCTACAGGGTGTTGCAGAAGGCCTTCGACGCGTGTTCGTTGAATTATTAATTTAGTTTGATGGATGGTGCTTTTTTTGTTGTTGTAATAACCACTAAATTTTTGTTCTGTTCTTGTTGTGAACTATAAATTACCGTTGGTTTCACTACAATAAATCAAAATGATGTATGGAGATAAGAAATATAAAAATGGAGCTAGGCGTCTTGAAAAATACAAACATGGCGTGGCGTGAACAAATATATTGTGAAGACAAGTGCATATGTAAGTGCTAGAAATATTTAAATTTTAAAATTATAAAGGTTGCGATGAGTTGGGAAGAAAGGGAATAGCCCGTAAAAGTAATTATCCTGTTTAAATTAGCGACTAGATGGGTTTCGTAACATTTAGGAATATATGTTATTTAAAAAAAGAGCTCTAAAAACCTAGAGCGGTGGCCCCTGTGAGCATTTTACCGCTTCGCTGGATAGAAAGTCAATTTCGGTTTGATGTGACGTGAATAAAATTGAACGGCTGACTAGTCCCATCAAGTCTCATAACTACACTGATACTTCTCGACGACAAAAAATAGGGAGACTGAGCGAGAAGGAAAAGTTTTTTTTTATTAAAATTCCACCTTGGCGTTTTAGAAAATCGAAAGGGACCCCGCGGGTGATTGGGGGTTGATATCAGTCAAACCATTATAGGGTGGATTGTATTTATTTTTTTAATTTTCTACGTCTAGCGCGAGCGAATTCAATTGGCAGGGTACTGGAGTGTACATTGAAATGTCCATTTACCAAAAATTTGATGTCGTTGGTTTGGCAACGCTTTCGTCTGCATGCACTACAAATGAGTGTCGCTTTCAGCGTTTTCAATTATGGATAGAAATAATTCGAGAACGATCATCAATTTTACCCATTTGGGATGTTCAACCGCAACGGAAATGAAATTGGAAGTGGTCCATTAGATATTTTTGCTGGTTCGTTTTTAATTCACGTTACATGTAACAGTTTTTCCGTAAGTACCTATGTCGTGTAATAATTTAATGCGATACCATCAACCAAATAAATTATACTTAGAAAATAAAAAAAAGTAAACGTTCCTTTTGAACTTAAGCCGCGCACGGAACAGCCGTATTTCTTTCCATTCCAACTAATCCATAATTCTGGTACAAAATCTATATTGTTCGTTCTTTTTACGACGTATAATTTCGCAAGAAAATCTTAGCTTTCCAACAACTCGGATTAAGGATCTCTCGAGTCTGAAATATTGACGGTTGATATAACAGTTTCCGATCCTACTTTCTCGATTTCCTCGATGTATCATACAGAGTCTGCGGGATAAGTACGTCGCCCAGTCCCTTTGTGAATTTCTTTCCATTGAAATATCCTTTTTTGTTATTTATTACCGACCGAACCGGCAATGTAGTATTATCTTATTAATCTTTCTTGAATTGAAGTGGTGTAATAGGAGAATTTTCAAAGGTTCAATGATTTTAATGAATGTAAAAAATTATAAATGGGTACGTTAAGAAAGGTAAAAAATTATTTTCGGATTAACTAACGCAATTAATTATCTTGCGATCAGAGATATAAAATATTTTTGTATTCTGGGTTATCTACCTGTAGGTAGCTGAGTAGTTAGTTGCTTCTATAACGCAAAAATAAAAATTAGAATATTGAGGAAATTAGATTTTGATCATTGTTTCTTTCTGGTTGCGACGCTTATGGGCCATTTTTCGGCTAAAATACCTTTTTTTCCTTCCTTATTGCTTTAATCATAGGAACCATTTGGTACAATTCATCAGGGGCTTTTGATATATCGAGAAACGTAATCCCATTTTATCTCTAAGATGGCGATGAGAAAAAAAAAGTGTAAAGAAAATATTACTTTTTCCGCACATTCTTTGGGATGTATTGATGTCTTTTATATACTTTTTTTTGAAAGATGGATTGAATGGATTCATTTCTTTGGATTTTTAGGCCAACATATAAGGGAATAGACAAATTGGATCAAGAAAGAATCCTTTTACAAGTAGACTTTTGTAGGAACTATAAGAAGTTTACTATTGATAATTAAATATAAACCAACTCAAATCGCGAACAAAAAAAGTTACAAGGAAATCCGTAACAATGGAAAATAAAATTACGAAACTCATTTTCGGTGATTTCTTGACGCTCATCCGGTTGCCCTTCTATAGGCCCGTCCGCTTCCAATTTTGAGTATGGAAATTAAACTTTCATTGGCGAACAAATAAATACAACCGGTCGATTTAGACTTTAATCAAACTTCGTAAATTGCTCATTGTTAAATTTAAACAAACTTTTCCCTGTCCTCGAAAGTTAAATCGATGGAAGAAATAAAAGTGCTCGAAAAGGTGGGAGACTCCAGAAACGGCAAACATTAAAGTACAATTTATATCTGCTTAAAGTCGACGGCGTTCCTGAAAATTTACTTAGGATTATATACGCTGAAATATGATTTCAACTTGGAGTTTTTACCGTACACCAAACGATCGAGTATTTCGATATATAGGTCACATTGAAAATTGCACATTTACCTATAAATCTATTTAAAAAAACCTAATAAATGGTTTCTCATTTAGAAAGAAGTTTAACGAAAAAAACAACAACGTGAACTAAATACTTATCTGATGAAAAATCCTTTTGTCCTGGAAGAAAAACCCCGAGTCAGGTATCCCCGTACAAATCGAACTTCGAAACTAAAATCATAAATTCATCTCCGAGTTGGGACTTGTCTTTTCCACGGCTTATCTCTAAACCGGCTGCGATCGCGAATTATACAAGTCGAGGCAGTAGCCTTCAAACTGTCTAACAGTGAATTTATCGCCTTAATCGATTCGATCCAGATTTTAGTTTAACGATTTTAGAAGGATTTTAAATTTATAATAGATTGGTTTTTCACATTCTGCTGCAGCTATAAGGACGCCAATCTCTCTAGATTCAAATCTATTAGACTAGAAATTGAAAAATAAATTATTATATAAAGAATAAATCAGTCATTTTGGTAATGCTAGGGTAATAAGAGTAGACTTTTTAAATGAAATTGTTTCAATCTGCTGTATCAAACTGATCGATGGGCAGGCATTTTTCTGGGATTTACTCAAAAAA